CATTTAATTAATTTTCTTTCGTTAAATGCAGCAGAAATAGATAGACCCCCGGTAGCAATTATAGGTGATGGCGGGTACTGGCCAGATATGTTGCCTTAACAGTTTTATAAAACTTGCTGTTGGAAACATTCTAACATAAACATTATTTTGATTTTTTAGTTTATTTCCAAGTGGTTACAAGTAATAAAAACCCATATGCATTTTTTAAGGATGTTTTTATACACACACACACACACACACACACACACACACACACAGTTTAAAAGGTGTTAACTCTTAGGTTCCGGATCGAAAACTATTCTGTATGACCCGGATTTAAGGGGCTGGAAGAGGTCTTTTGAGGAGGGAACTTCTAGGCCACAGTCCAACACACACACACACACAGGTCCAGCTGACATGGCAAAACTGTGTGTGTGTGTGTGTGTGGTGTGTGTGTGTGTGTGTGTGTGTGTGTGTGTGTGTGATTCATGTCCTGATGTTTGCCGGTATCGTGTTTGGTAACTCCAATTACTGACGTATAATTACGGGTTGATTGTGGGTGGGGTAGATTGATGGCAAGTTGAATTAAGTGGGTTGGCAGTGGGTTGAATGGGTTGCTGGTGGGTTAGTGGTGGGTTGACGATAGAGTTAATGAGTTGACGATAGGTGGAGTGGGTTGATGGTGGTTTGATAAAAGAGAGTGAGTTGACTGTCAACTGAGTGGGATGATGGTGAAGTGAGTGGGTTTATGGTGGGTTGATAGTGGGTTGACGGTGGGTTAGGGATAAGCCTCACCAAAACATACTATAACTCTACCCACAATATGAGCTCAGTGATGACCGTCTGTTTCCGTCACTTTCAGATCTGGTCAGCTGTTGTGATCCAGGTCAGGCCTTACCTCACCTCCCTACCCGCGGTCAGTACCTTCCTCACACTCCTCAGTTGTTCCTAGTAAAAAAAAAAAAAAAAAACTCCAACGTAAGCATTAGACGCATGGACGTTCGTCTGGCGATGTGAGCTTAACGGAGGTATTGCTGGATAAAAGGGAACGCCTGGCGCACGCTGCCTAAATGTTTTTGTTGGTGTTTTTATTTTTTTATTATTTGATATCGTAGATAAAACATTAAAATATCGTAGATAAAACATTAATGTATCGCAGATAAAACATTACTGTATCGTAGATAGAACATTAATGCATCGTAGATAAAACATTAATGTATCGTAGATAAAACTTTAATGTATCGTAGATAAAACATTAATGTATCGTAGATAAAACTTTAATGTATCGTAGATAGAACATTAATGTATCGTAGATAAAACATTAATGTATCGTAGATAAAACTTTAATGTATCGTAGATAAAACATTAATGTATCGTAGATAAAACATTAGTGTATCGTAGATAAAACATTAATGTATCGTAGATAAAACATTAGTGTATCGTAGATAGAACATTAATGTATCGTAGATAAAACATTAGTGTATCGTAGATAGAACATTAATGTATCGTCGATAGAACATTAATGCATCGTAGATAAAACATTAATGTATCGTAGATAAAACAATGTATCGTAGATAGAACATTAATGTATCGTAGATAAAACATTAATGTATCGTAGATAGAACATTAATGTGTCGTAGATGAAACATTAATGTAGAACATTAATGTATCGTAGATAAAACATTAATGTATCGTAGATAGAACGTAGAACATTAATGTATCATTAATGTATCGATAGAACATTAATGATAGAACATTAATGTAGATAAAACATTAGATAAAACATTAATGCATCGTAGATAAAACATTAATGTATCGTAGACAAAACATTAATGTATCGTAGACAAAACATTAATGTATCGTAGACAAAACATTAATGTATCGTAGATAGAACATTAATGTATCGTCGATAGAACATTAATGCATCGTAGATAAAACATTAATGTATCGTAGACAAAACATTAATGTATCGTAGACAAAACATTAATGTATCGTAGACAAAACATTAATGTATCGTAGATAAATCATTAATGTATCGTCGATAAAACATTAATGTATCGTCGATAAAACATTAATGTATCGTCGATAAAACATTAATGTATCGTCGATAAAACATTTATGTATCGTAGATAGTAAATTAATGTATCGTAGATTGAGCAGTGATGTATCGTAGAAAAAAACAATATATCGTACACTGATATTATCACAGACACAATATTGCCTTATCACTGCTAAATAAAATAGATATATCGTAGCTAATCAAAACATTAACATATCGCAGATGAAGCACTGAATTACCATACATGAAATATTGATACATATTAGAGAGAATAATTTTAAACGTATTGTAATTATTATATTAACGTATTGTAGATAAAACACTGATATAATGTAGCTACAGAAGACCCTGACGTATCGTAGCTAGGTAAAACAATCATATATCGTTGATGTCTACAACACTAATGTATACTAATATGTAAAACACTAAAGTACAGTACACATGACACATTAATGTTACAGTGCCCAGCTTGTCAATGTTGTCAAAATGTTGTTTATACACAGTGCAGCTCTGCCGTGTAAAGGGTTTAATACATAGTTACCCCAACTACACAGTATAATAACGTATTTTATATGTTGGTAACGGCTGGTGACTAGAGAGCACAATTTACATGCAGGTGTAGAGGTGATGTTGCCACGGTCGTGATGCGCTTTACAGTACAGTACAGTACAGTACAGTACAGTACAGTACAGTACCCATAAGCAAGGAATGGAGGACAAGGAACAACATCAAATAAGACAAAATAACACCCAGAGTCATGTACGTTATGGTTGATCTTTAGGCACCAATAAGATGTTATCCGTGGCCAGGTGGTCTTAAAAGATGTTATCCGTGGCCAGGTGAACTTAAAAGATGTTATCCGTGGCCAGGTGAACTTAAAAGATGTTATCCGTGGCCAGGTGAACTTAAAAGATGTTATCCGTGGCCAGGTGAACTTAAAAGATGTTATCCGTGGCCAGGTGAACTTAAAAGATATGATCCGTGGCCAGGTGAACTTAAAAGATGTGACCCGTGGCCAGGTGAACCTAAACGCGTCTATTTCAAGAGACGCTAAACGTTGGAGGCAGCGGTTCAGAAAAACAACTTCATCCTGACTCAGCTGCTGACACAAGACAAAACTGATGACACACACACCAAATACTGCCGGAGATGGCTGCCCTTTTAACCCTTACTGCCGGTAATGTAAGGGTCATACACCAAAACCTATCATGTTCTTCACTTCAAAATCATCTGCAAGTGGTACAGCTTCACGGAACAACCAGTAAGTGTTATGGAGTCCCAGTCACTCGAACTAACACAACAAAACATCCACTGTAACTTCAACACCCAGAATTAAACGCTATTAACAGATGGTATCGATACTAATATTAATTCTCCTCATAAGCAGTTAAGAGATTCTGGATATTAATAAAATTTAACTAAGAATAAAGAACCGATATTAATACAGAAATATCATAAATTCCAAGTAATGCCTGAAGACGGGAACATCTCCTCTGGGATAGTTTTTAAAACCTCATCAGCTCTCTTACTCACCTCACCTCACCTTAATATACAGTCCCAGCCACTACCCACCCCCCCTCTTCCTCCTCCTATTCTTCTTCTTCATACTCCTCCTCCTCCTCCTCCTCCTCATATTCTTCTTTTCCCTCCTACTCTTATTCTTTTCATCCTACCCTACTCCTATTCTTCTTCAACCTCCTCCTCATCCTATTCCCATTCTTGTCCATCATTCTTCTCCTTTTTATTTTCTTCTTCTTTCTCCTCCTCCTGCTCCTCCTCCTCTTACTATTCTTCTTCACCCCCGTCCTCCACTCCTACAGACACTTCCTCCCACAGCCCCAGAAGATTAAATATCAATTACAGGACACCGTTATGGTAGGGGTGGGGGGGCACGCACTGGTTGACATCCTCAAGGGGCCACACTCATCCTGACGAAAAAACACGGCAGCTGTTTTAATCAGAGGTGAGGGACATCATTTTCCCAAGTCTAGCAGAGGGAAACCAATCTATTCCCAACTCATCTATCGGTAGTTTCCCTTCCTCTATGAGCAACCCATTCCAACTTATTCCAACCTATTCCAAATCATTTTCCAACCCATTCCTTATACTTCAAAGGAACTGTCGTAATGTTACCACTTAATATAATGACCCTTATGGATTATTATGTAACCACGCCATTCAAATTATCTGTCTACAAGGATTCTGCTTTTGTATTGGTCAATGGATCATTCACCAACTAATTATTCTGGATCAGGACGACGAACGTTTAAGTGGCTTCATCTGTACACTGACATGATGCTGTGGAGAAAGTTTTCATTCATGGTTCTTATAACCTTGACTTTCTCCATCTCCCAACTTTTATATTTCCCAAGACGCTCAAGAACCTTATACACGGACTACTTCAACCCTTCCTGCTATTGGGAGAATTACGTGCCAGCAATCTCTTATGGGAAGACCTTACTGATATATGCGACAGAGGTAAGGAGAGAGGCTTTATTAATATCAAAGTCGATTTGTCTATAACACCAAGAAGTGTCAACTCACACACATCACACAACAACCTCAACTCTGCTCACCAAGTACGGCCACAAACTTAGACTGATGATCAACAGATAATCATTACTAATTTATCCTCACTGGCGGTACAAATGAGAAGATTGAATTCCTTTTCAAAGAACCTTTCTCTCTCTTGTTTTATATTCTATATACATTCCATAATCTGTCCTTTGCCAGATTTCACTTTGCCGAGAACACTCAGCGCCTCAACGTATATCATGATGTGTACACTTGTGCCAGTCATCTGGTGGAATGAGGACTAATGCTGCCCGAAGATAAATATCACGGCTCTCGTCATAAACACTCGTAAACACTTTCTTATGTCTCTAAGTTTATATAATATACGACAGTCCACAACACCTTTTCTTCCTTAAAGATTACCGGTATAAAAATATTATGTAAATACCTGTACTGTGTAGACGAGAGCCGGTAAGTCGTCCTTATAACCCATGATGACGTGACCCAACTCCAGCCTCATGTTCCTCCCATCTAGTTTTCGTAGACGAGAGTCTGAAAAAAAAAATATATCCCCGGTAAATTTTCATCCGAGAATACTGTACATGTGAGCTGTGTAGCCCTGAGTGTACTCTGACTAAGGCAGAACGAAAAACAACACACATGGACTCTCAAGGTCAGTTACTCAGATCAGTCGCTTTGACGAATCCATACATACATCTGTAAGGACCTTCCTGGGGTCTCTGAGATAAGCAGTTATCTTTCCTTCCCGGAAACTAAAGATCCATCCTCCTCCACGATCTACCATCCTCTGTCGCTCACTAGTTGGTGAACCTTCAGAAAAGATAAATTCCAGACATGTTTTGTTATAGCGAAGTATTATCGTTCACCTTCACAGTCTGGTAGTTGTTACACGAAATCTATCGTTGACCAGCTAAAATAGCTTAAACCAACAGTACACACAGCTATAAGTAAACACAAGCACACACACACAGCTAAAAGTAAACACAAACATACACACACAGCTATAAGTAAACACAAGCACACACACACAGCTAAAAGTAAACACAAACATACACACACAGCTAAAAGTAAACACAAGCACACACACACACAGCTAAAAGTAAACGCAAACATACACACACACCAAAAAACAAACAAACTATAGTCGCAACAAAAGTGTGATGAATCTAGCTCACTAACTTCCTACACGCCTCCAATTTCTTTCATCTCTAACTCTTATAAACTTTTTCTTATTTTATTTCTCACAACAAAAACATCAATTCCCCTCCTTAAGAAAATCCTCAAGTTGTCTTCCCTTGAATGTTTCTTCGCCAAGTTCTGATTTTCCTTCCTCAAAGCCCCGATTTTTTTCCTCCTCGAAGCCCTGAATCCTCTCTCCTCGAAGCCCCGAATCCTCCCTCTCAAAAGCCTGAATCCTCCCTCCTCGAAGCCCCGAATTCTCCCTCCTCGAAGCCCCGAATCCTCCCTCCTCGAAGCCCCGAATCCTCCCTCTCAAAAGCCTGAATCCCCCTCCCAAACCCCGAATCCCCCCTCCCCAAACCCCGAATCCCCCCTCCCCAAACCCCGAATCCCCCCTCCCCAAACCCCGAATCCTACTACCCCAAAACCCATAACTTCCCTCTACGTTGGTCCTCTTCCACTTCCCCGGAACTCTAAATCTTCCCTCAGTTCAGTTCTATTTCCGCTGGTGATTATCTCCCGTATCAAATGTCGATAGGTGTCTTAATCTCCATAATTCACGACGTCTAAAAGGAATTCATTGAGCTCGTGTGAATGTTCGTGTTACATCATCAACATAGTCCTTACTTATGGCAGATTTCGTGCGTCAGTAAGGACAATGTTGCTCTTGTATTTCCCAGAGATACAGTGACAATATAAACACCTACAGAATTGCTACACTATTCAGCCTTTACAAAAATAATGACAAAATTAAAATCTAAAAGAGGAATTGAACAAGATGACACGATACCATCAAGGGTGTTCAAGATGGTATTGGATCAAGTTTAGCTTAAGACACAGGGTTGAGATACGAAAGACACAGCAAACAGACCGGTCAGTAAATAACAGTGAAATGAAACAGACTTGATGATGATGATGATGATGATGATGATGAGGATTACCAAGAAAATCATAATGAAATCAAAATACATCTTCAAAACACTCAAACAAAAGACAATCAAAACAAAAGGTAAAAAAAACAACACGGAAATACTGAAGAATTAAGAAATAAAAATTATGGATAGAAAAAATCGACTATTCACACTTTAAAATAAGTGGTGAGAAGAAAAAATGCCCTACCGTGTGTGTGTGTGTGTGTGTGTGTGTGTGTGTGTGTGTATGGATGGTGTTTGACAGGTTAATTAAAAAACTCAGTCTCATATGATTTTTCAATTATCAAATTTTTGGGGGGATGAACGCATCAAATTTTATATTCAAGATTTTCAGGTATCATGATTAAATGGATAAACACACACACACACACACACACACACACACACACACACACATGAACAAAATAAAATAAATGTGTTGTAGTTAAATATTTATAGGGAAAAAATTGGTATTGTTAACATATGTTGTTGTGTTGTGAAAGCCCCGAAATTTAATGTAATTTGCCTTTTGTAAACACTGTGCCTATAGTCTCTGAATATTTGATTCTGGTCAACATTTTTCCGACGTAAATAAACTTCGAAAAATGATTTAGTGTTCGTACAGTCTAATTTGTTTTGGGATACTTGAAGAGTCTTACCCAAAGGAAGATAATATGAAGGTACGGAAGAAGGAGGAAGAGGAAGAGGAAGAGGAAGAGGAAGAGGAAGAGGAAGAGGAAGAGGAAGAGGAAGAGGAAGAGGAAGAGGAAGAGGAAGAGGAAGAGGAAGAGGAAGAAGAAGAAGAAGAAGAAGAAAGGCTAATAAAGAAAAGAAGAAGAAGAAAATGTAAGAATAACAAAAAGAAAGAAGAAAACTAACTAATAAAAGAAGAAGAAGAAGAAGAAGAAGAAGAAGAAGAAGAAGAAGAAATTATACAGTAGGAAGACACCGTCAACTGTCAGTGTCTCTCTTACTACTACTACTACTACTACTACTATTACTAGTGTTGTCATATATCAACATAACATAATAAGTTAAAATCCTTTGACAAAATATTCGGGTTATTGTGTTGAGTCACAGACAGACAGACAGACAGACAGGCCACGGACGGACGGGCGGACAGACAGACAGACAGGCAGGCTCACGGACGGACAGACACAAGGCCATCTAAGTCAAGTATTCTGCATATATGAATATTATGTTACATAAGCAGACGTGGCGCAACATATCTACGTCATAATAAGGGGATATGGTAGAGAGAGAGAGAGACAGAGAGAGAGAGAGAGCGAATAAGTGAGTGAGTGAATGATTGAATAGTGAATATGGTGAGAGTAAGTGGACGTGAATAAGAGTGAGCGAGTGAGTGAGTGAATAAGTGTGTGACTGAAGTTGTAAACATTTATGGTCGGGCTGAGGTGTGTTGGGGTTGATGAATGTCTCTCCAACACACACACACACACACACACACACACACACACACACACACACACACACAAGAGGCTTCAAAAATAGTATATAAGTACCTGTGAACACCTGAAGTGACCCCTTTACCTACCTGCTGTGTACATATTCTCTGTGACTTTCATCCTTCCCTCCCTTCCTCATTCCTTTTCTTACTCTTCTTTTCTTCCTTCATTCTTCTTTCCCTATCTCCCCCCCTGCCAATCTCTCTTTTTTCTTCTCTTCCATTTTCAATTCATCTCTCCCTTCTTCCTAATCTCCCATTCTCTCCTCCCTACCGGTTTCCTCTCCGTCCCGACGTATACCTGTTCTTAATCGAGACACATCTGAAGTTTATGATTTATTTTCTAGAAATAAAACAATCTTGTTGCTGATCCTCTCCTGTTATGAGTTAAGTTATGGGTAAATAGTCCCTGTACTGTACTGTAGCTGCAGGACAACTCGTGGGTCCTCATGGAGCTGCCACAATTCTTTACGCTTCAGGCTTGGGAACATTAAACACAATAGGTAATGAATTTCCCTTACTAGTATTTCGTGTCTTATTGAATTTATAGTCCATGGTTGATACGTTACCATCTGCTACATAAACCCAATATTAAGATGTAATGCAAGCTGTATATAACGAAGTTTACAACAGTGGCGGTAACTTTTATCGTTTATTAATAAAACTGTTATTGTTCCAATACTTTCTGACGTGTTCTTTGACGCACAGGCTTATAAAAAGGTGGAGACGTAAAACAAATATTACAGGTTATTATAGTTTGTTCAATGGAACCTTGTATCTGAGGCCAAGGGTCAGTTTGTAGCAAGGCAGCTGATTGGTTGGCGGACGGACAAGGGAAATGTCACTACGTTTCTCTAGTATTTATTCTATCTCTGATAATTTTCGCTCTTAGGGAAACAAATACTAACATGTGAAACGCTCTAATAGAAGAAATATCTTATTTTAATAATTCCTGGATACATACAGCTTGGATGATGGATCCTGGCGGGTTGGTATAACAGCAGAGATTGGTAACACTTACTGGCTCAACACTTATAATTCTAACATCAATTTGGCTGTATACATACATATCATGTAATGTAAACAACCTAACATGTAAAAACATAAGGTGAATTAATTAAACTGTAAAATCAAGTAATATTTAACATCTCATTGTTTTCGTTACAACAATGTTCTATTCAAATTATGATTCGTATTTGTTAAAGACTTTCAGCTACCAGTGTTACCAAGTGCCATTACTAGGTCTTTATCTTCACCATTTTACACTTAAAAAAAAAAGAACCAATAAATTTTAAATCAATTAATATGGCAACTATAAATTTATCTTGTATTATTACCACTAAATAGGGTTAATTCGGCTCGGGGGCGGGGGGGGGATAGTTACCATACACTATCAGATATATTTACGATATACTGTAATTGCACAATATACCACACTCACCGCCCACCCGCCCACACATAATTCTCGACCTGACTAAAATAACTTACTATAAATGCTACAAATCACAAGAAAGTTCGTGATTTCTAACCATGAGAGAGGGGTGGGGTGGGGGGCTATAGTTTCAGACAGTTCTAATAAAGGAAAGGTTAGATGCACGTGGATAATATAACGGATTAATATAAGCGTTAAGAGACTAATCGCTGGCTATAATTAATTCTATCAGCTGTCACGACTATGCTTTTGGGACGTGTGTGTGTGTGTGTGTGTGTGTGTGTGTGTGTGTGTGTGTGTGTGTGTTAAGAAGACTCATGTGTGGTAGAAATATTCAGATGTGGGATTAAATACACTTTATTCATTATATCTCCTTAACTCATATGGTTCATTATACGCGTTTAAGTATAGGGTTTCAAACCTTATATATGACACTGGTTCTTATGAGCATAAAGATGGTATATATCGTAATACGCCTCTACACTCATACACACAGTTTCTCAAATTACTATCGTGCTAACATTTAACCTTTGATATGACCCCTTAATTGGGACCTTCAAACGTGAGGCCAATTTCTTAATCTACTGACGGACGCAATTGTTTAAACCTAACCTAACCTAACCTAACCTAACCTAACCTAACCTAACCTAACCTAATCTAACCTAACCTAACCTATCTCATATTATATATCAGCTGATGGTTCCTTTTACTGTTGACGAGAGAAAGTTGAATCCAAAGTTTTCGATGCGTCAAATTATTAATGGAAGTTTACGGGAAATATTGATTTATTAGAGAGAGATATTACCCAACGTCTAGGTGTACCATTTCAGATATTACTCTTAAAATCTTTCTCATAAGTTGGTTCTACGTGTAATGAAATAGGAAGTTGGGACGTAGAAAGTAATTTAAAATAGGATGTTGTGAAGTAGAAAGTAATTTAAAATAGAAAGTTGTGAAATAGAAAGTAACTTAAAATAGGATGTTGTGAAATAGAAAGTAATTTAAAATAAGAAGTTGTAAAGTAGAAATTAACTTAAAATAGAAAGTTGTGAAGTAGAAAGTAACTTAAAATAGGATGTTGTGAAGTAAAAAGTAACTTAAAATAGAAAGTTATGAAGTAGAAAGTAATGATGAATGAGTTAAGAGACCTGAGGAAAAGTTACTTTCATCATCAGTAACTTACATCGATTGATTAATTTCTTTAGTTCACTTGTATCGAGTTGTTGGCTAGTGTATGACCTTACCTGATGCATCTTAATGTAATAAAACAACAAATAATTTTACCACGGTGCAAGGTTCCGATAATTGGCAACAAGTCAAAAACTAAACAAAATATAAGATGAACAACACTTGGTCATACTGTATCTAAAATTTCACCTTGATAGTATTAAAAGAGTCTCTGAGATATCGCCCGGACAAGAAGGCAAGAAAGAATCAAAGAAGAGACAAAGAAACTATGCAATCACAGTGTGGCCTTTCTCTGTGGCTCATGTGGTGTATTAAGGTCAAACACTTCACACGGCACATGGGTTACAGGTGGTGGTGTATAGTTATGACGTTTCCAGCGTTACTGTGGAAGATATGTGGGAGACATTATCAAGTAACATGTCTGTATCATTGTGCCATAGTTTCCATGTCATACGGCTACACAACTAACTTAATAATGAAACAAAGAACAGAAAACATATATGGTGTGATTTATCGATGTTATTTATTACTTATATAAAGGCAATCACGTGATTTTATATATATACTTTACATAACAGTGGGTAAGTTTAATACTATTTCAGGTTATGTTATGTTATAGTCTTAATATTGTTACGTAATCAATATTGAAATATGTAATCAATTATTCAGTAGATATTAAATTATGTGCATCTTTTACATAACTGATGCTATAATACATGCTTAATGATCTTTTTCTTTCATCACAGGTAAGTTTAGCAGAGGTGTTGAAGACTTATATGCACGTAAGTAAATTTGTCATTTGTGCAAGTTAGTCTAAGAATCTTTATTGACATTTATGAGGATTTATCTAATTATTTTCTCTTATCATGATCAACATTATTCATCCTTGTCTATTATTATTACTATTGTTATTAACTATAGAACATGTATAAGGATTATCAAGTTAAATACAACTTAGTGTTATAGACCTTGTTGGGGACACTAGTTACTGGTTATGTGTTAAGAGGTGTGGCACTGGACCCTGTCACGTAAAGGAAGATTCATTGTTCACCCTTGTTCTTATACCTACACTAAGTATATCGTGTACCTGAACTTTCTATGTACATTGTATAATATATGTAATGTCTGTGTATATATATTATGTACAGTATATCATGAACCAAAGTGTACTTGTGTGACATATCTATCTATCTATCTATCTATCTATCTATCTATCTACATTGGTAAATAATATTCAGACATTAAATATTCCCTCTATTATTATTTTTATTTCATTTAATTTTATGTCATTTTTCGGAGTGACTGATCAAGTGGACCCCAAACCATATAGTCCCCAACCTGATTTAATCAAACCATTACCGCAGGGGCCGAGACCTACTGGACAACAGTCATAAACGATGTGAGTGAAAGTGATCCCAAGGGTGTAGCAGCCCACTGGTGGCGGGGCAGGTACACCACTGAAGCTTAACCTGTTTTTTTATGTTCAAAAGGCGATGCTGCGGCCGGCACTGCACTCAACCACCTTCATTTCCCAAACTGTAAAGATACGTACCTATTAACAACTGGGTGGATTAGGGTGGTTGGTGATCTAACCAGTGATCTTTAGGATAGCAAGAGAGCTCTGCACCCACTCGGCCGCCTCACCCTTGGGTCAGGTCAGGTCAGGACTGTTTAAGACTCGGTCACTCCACCAGCAACAATAATAACTATCTCGCATCATATTCTAAAATTTACTGATAATTTATGAATTAAAACTGCACCCGGGAGTTAATACATAGCATCATACATTACACCAGTATTTATTAATTAGTTTTTTATTGGGATCTATCTCTTGCTTTTAACAGTTGATTGCTAGTCTGTGTATTAACCTGGACTACGCGCTTAAATACCTTAGTTGTTATTGAGCAGTAATCCATTATACCACCAACGCAGCTAATTTTACGAGCACATGATAAATATAATTCTCAACGTATATTATGTAACATTATTTTAGTTTAATACTTTACGTTACTGCTCCTGATGTTTATTTTAACACAGATGAATTTCCCCGACTCGTTGCTGTCAAGATTTAAAGTGTCATGACCTTTTGGGGTTAAATAATAATGGTCCTTTTAGCCTGTCAGTTGTGTTATTACTGATGTTATTAATTCATGTATTTCTCGGTCGCTCAAGGTCATAAATTTTAGCGGATTTCCTTCACTGAGGATTAACTTTCAAATGTCGTTAGCGACCTTTTTAATTATCTGCTGAATAATTTGTAGATAAACACGGGGGTTCTTTCCATTTAATTCAGGTTATTTCTAAATAATTGTTCAGGGAGCCGTTTTATTTTTCTCAATAATTTGGTCATAATTTGAGAATTTTTCATCACTGAGTTAATAGATAATTTGAGTTTGTGTTTTACTCCTTTACAGTCATACAGCCTTGAATTATTACCTTAGAAAATTAATTAAAACTTTATTGACTTCTTCCTCTCGTTTGTTTCTTGTATTGGTAATTTCGGGTCACGCTCTTGTACCGTTTTGTATAATGAATAAATTCTAATATTCTTTATTCCGGGTTATACCGAGATGCTTAATATTCTTTATTCCGGGTTATACCGAGATGCTTAATATTCTTTATTCCGGGTTATACCAAGATGCTTAATATTCTTTATTCCGGGTTTGTGTTTATTTTGCTTTATTAGGATATGATTACAGTCCCGAGTCCGGCTCAATTTATTTTGTTAAAGAACCTGACTGACAACATATGTGTAAACGGCTGACTAATGAACCCCGACACGCTTGAGAACTGTTGGTGGTGGTAGCCAAAACAGCGACCCTCAGCTTGTGTGGTGTTGTACTAACCAAAGCTAAACTAAGACCTTAAAGGTAGGTTGGGTCTTGGTGCTATCTGTCGTTAATGGTTACCTCAACAACAAGCTATGTCGTGCCGTCTCACTAACGACAATAAATCGAGAGCTGATCCCGTGTTGGTAGCGACGGTCTTGTTCCTGATTGGGCAAATCTGATTAGTTCAAGTCCAGTTTGTTCAATAATTTTCTATTTTCATATTCCATCAAGATTGTTTTAATTTGAGCAACTTGATATTTTGTTAACACCATTATTATTAATATTAGTTTGATTCAATATAGTTCCTTTGGATATTACAATCAGACGATCATTATTTAAATACAATTAGAATAGAATAAGCTTTTTATTTACACTTTCATAATGCCTGTACTGTGACCAAACAACACAGTACATATGTTTCGTCATGTAATAGATCATAAATTATTATTGTCTTGGACTAAATGATGTTAATGACTTAAAAGATTTCGTTCCATAATGCCAGTTTATGTATTACTGTTGTGTGTACCTACAACACTGTCGGAGAGTTTAGTGTTGTTATAATGTTATTTACTGCGAGTCAACAATTAAGGTTTAAATGCCTAACAAAGTTATTAACAATATCTAAACAATTATGAGAGATTAAACTCACTTCAAGAGAAATATTAACCGATAACACATATATATATATATATATATATATATATATATATATATATATATATATATATATATATATATATATATATATATATATATATATATATAGACACACACTGTATATTAGAGGAAAATTTCCACATAGTAGTAACTATTTCTCGGTGATATTCGTGTTTGAATAATGATTACTGGTTTCACGATAAAATTTTATAGAGCAATAATAAGATTAAAAAACATATTTCAAAATAATTCACTTTTCACATTGATATATGTTTGGGGCTTTGTGTGATGCCGCCATCCCGTGTTCACAAGCGGCAGTGACAGGCAAAGCTCTCCCTCATGTGTCCACACAAAGTAATAACTAAAATGTTTAAATATATTTAAATGGTCTCATCTCAATCAAAGTCATTAGGGATTTTAACCTCATGAATTAGAATACAGTTGTTCTCCTTTATGAGTGAATTATATGAGATATAATGAAAGACTTGTGATGGACAAAGTACAGTATATTGATCATTATTGTGAGCCAGGACGCTGTTCACAGTTGTTGGCCCACCTAGCATTTCATTTAGTCTATAAAATAAAAAATAAAAGTAAACAATTTATAAAATTAAAATCATTCGTAATTAGATATACTATTAATATGGAATAATATTTTCTCTGAGTTATTCTTAATATTCGAATGAAGTGGAAATTTAGCAATACCGTCAGACCTGAACTAAATATCCAATATATCTTTACCACTAAGCTAAACCATGATATACCGCGATATACAACATATAAGTTCACCTATTTTTCGATAAATTATTTTATAAATGTTTGTTTACAAATAATAGTTGAAACTGAAGATTTTATTAAAACGTGTGACTAAAGGTTAAGCCAAACACGATTCCCATCTTCAATCAATCAGTCAAACCTGCCAACCAATTCCTCATCTGTGTGAATGTTATGGTGTTTTAACTTCCTCAGCACCTTCACCTGTCGCTGAACACCTGAGTTAATCCTTGATGACCAACATAATGAACTTGTGAATGATGACAGCATTCACAAAGTTCATCACGACATGTAGATAACAAATACAGACTTAACACATTGAGCAATATGTAACACTCTCAATAATGTACAGCTTAATGCAGCCACTTGTCTTATACCTGAAGTTTCCTGACAGTTCTCACAGTTTTACTCGGATAAACGGCCACAAGTCTCAGAGGTGAAGGTTAGGGAGAAGGTCGCCACTTTATGCCTTGTAATTTTTGGGGCACAGTTACTGAAGAGTTTGTTTTAATGCACAGGAGGTTAGTTTAGGTTAGGTTAGGTTTGATTAGGTTTGGTTTGGTTAGGTTAGGTTAGGTTAGATTAGGTTAGGTTAGGTTAGGTTAGGCAGGGAAGAAAAGGAAAAATAATGTGAACTTAAGAAAATTACATTAGCATTGTATTTACACGAGTCTCATTCATCCATAACAACCTAACCTAACCTAACTTAACCTAACCTTCCCTAAACAAATATAATCCAAGGTCCATAGGTTGATTTGGGTTTGGCTGCGTCAGGTTATCCACCATAATTAACAAATCCAGGTGTTGAACAGAAATACTACACGTGATCGCTCATAAAGACGTATATTATTTAACCTCAGGTACATCCGGCTAGTAACGATAACTAAAAACAGACGTATTATTAACTACACCATTATTCACAACACGACTCTAACAACTAAGAAACCGATCAATTATATCGAATTATTAGACAAGTATTATAAAATGTTTGGTAAATATTCAGTTTAAATTCGGCCGCCTCATTAGTCTAGGGATCGAACCATTATTTAAATAATTTTCGCCATGAATTTCACTCCATTTTGTAATATTAAATCAGGAATACCAATATGGTTAGAGAGGTTTTAAATTGATTACAGTACGTAAATAGTTTATTATTGGGGGCACTGTTACCGCCAGTTAGTCAGATTTATAATACGAGTTTGGAAATTTGTTCTATTTCAAGATTTGGTTCAGGAAACAAAAGAGAGACGAAGTGTGAAGATATGAGGCAAATATTTGATATCACTCGTACGACACTTTGTAATCTGATAGCCTTTCATAGTTAGGTTAGGTACTTCACAGGAGCAGATATATTACAGGCGTTGTGGAGAAGTTAAAAATTAGTTCGGGGTCAGAAAAATTCACCTAAGTTATTATTTCGTCAATGAATGATATCATATCCTATAGCTGTGGTGCCGCGTTAGTACAGTAGCTTCCTTGAGGGTGGTGATCAATAGGACGCGTATATTAAGAAGTAACAA